TTATTGGTTGATTGTTTTTTATTGGTCAGAAGCCATTTTTTGCTATTCTAACTTTGTTTTTCCCTGCATAAAGCCTTCTTTATATGAGCATGAGCTGGTATACAAATTCAGATCAGGGAAGAGCCACTGTTGATGATCCTGTTTTAAATACATTTCATTAACTACTTTGTGCCCTGTTTTGTTAGTTTCTTTTTTTTTTATTATTTGAAAAAACTCTTCCAGATGGAGCTTGCTGTGATGCTTCTCTAATAACCAAGGCACTTGTGTACTCTCAGCTTTGCTGCCTCAGCTGCCCAAAATGCATTGGATGGCTCAGTAGAGGCTATTCCAGGTTTTGTAACCATTCTGGCAAAAAAGAAGGGCTGGAGTCTGTGATTTCATGGACTTTCTAGTCTCAGTCTTCATCAGTGATCACTGAATGAAAGATGAAGCTGAGCTTCTCAGAGGGAGGATAAATGTATTGTTGTGTTCATGTCTTCACATGGGAAGTTGACTATGGGAGCAAGTAAATTGTATCTCAGTGAAAAGGCAGGGGAGGATAAAAATAAGTATTGTAATCAGAAGAGAACATGCTGAGACATGGCTTTTCCCCTTGTAAATCTGGATAGATAACATGTGGGGTTGCATACTACTGAAATGCCTTACTGAGAACTTTATATCAAAATTTGATTAAATTGACTATGTATATGACAAGGTTTTAGATTTGATTCTGACTGACTAGAGGAGAAATGTTGGGTGGAGGTGATGAAAAGCAATGTAGGTGAAAATGATGATTAAACAATATGCTTTTAGTGTGAGAAATGTTTAAGATCAGTAGAAAAAGGATGTCTGATTGCCCCTTCCCTCAAATTTTTGCAAACTAAACTATTTGATGTCTTCTTTGCTTTAGTTTCCACAAACAAAAGCTGAGTGTGACAATTAATACATAACGTACCATACATGCAACTTTAAACAAGAGGACGAAGGGAATGGTTAAATTGATGATTCCTGAACTGTGGTCTGCAGCTAATGTGCATTAGCAGTTCTGAGCTTCCCATCTGTGTACACCGGTAGTCCGTGAGAAAATCTGACATTCAAAACAGTTTGAAAGCTTCTCTGTAAAAAATTAGATAACTGAATGAATGAAGTTAATTCATTTAATTACTAGTGGAAACAATTGGTGACTCACTGACAGCTGCCATTAAGAACTTATGAAGACTTCTATGGTCCAGCAAATCTGGAAGAGAGTAAGCACTTGGTTCACCTTTTTCTACAAATAGAGCTGTCAACTAATGCTGATATAGAATAACCAAATTTATTTATGAATCAGTGTTTGGACACAAAACAGATAGTTAGGTGATCATTAGCTTTTTGATTGAAAAGCTAACTTGCAAAAAGGATCACTCATCTGTATGACTATGGCCAGGCAGTAGGAAAAAAATTTCTGGCTACAGGCTACTTTGGAAAACCCTGACTATGGCTTTAAGAGCATATGTGCAGGTACACATGCCTGGAGTACTTTAGCTGTGCTTACCTTGCCACATAACAGGGGCAGGGGTAGATCTCCCATGGGGAACATTTCGGCACTGCATTTTTCTGCTTGTTGCGGAACCGTTTTACTTCCTTGAGGAAACTTAGTAGGCAGAACAAAACTGGAAACTTGCTTGGAAGGTTTTGAAGGCTCTTTGACTTGACTGTTAACTACAACCATAGGCATAAAAAGAGCTCTTGAGAACCTAAGCTGGCCTGCCATTCATTTTATATTAACATCAGTTTCTATACTTGTTTTACTCAAAATGAATGACGGAATTTCCATTGTCTTCGGTACTGTTGCATGGAAGTCTTAGGTCTGGTCTTTGGCTTGCATCTCTGTGTGTATTTATGTATGTGTGAGGTATTATCTACCTGCAGTGTAGGTGTCTAAAAGGCATATGCAGGAACATCACACCAGGGAAACTGTCAGTAAATCAGTTCCCTTGTAGAAAAGACATTGCATCATTTGTTGGAAAAGGGCAACAGCAGAGACAGCTTAGCTTTCAAAACTTGATTTTGTTTTTGTTAAGAGAAAATGCTTTTACTTTATTTTTTTTTCTTTCCTTTCCTCTCTTCCCCTTCTGATCATTACCAGGATTTCTTCTACGTATACACTTGATGCTTCAAGGAGTTGCAAGCTCCATTACTGAAGGCAGCAGCGACCTACAAGGAAAGACTGAAGTGATAAGGGTTGCTTCATGCCATAGGTTGCTGAGGAAAGTCACAAGATGTCTTTGAGCATTGCTGCATAGAAAAAGAGGAGTATACTTATTACTGACTTCATGATCTTAGAACCAGTACTGATGGCTTTATACTTCTGCAAGAGCAATAGAGGCAAGACATTATCAAAACAGAATAAAGCAAGGCAAACGAAAAATAAGAAGATCTCCAAGACAAGGTGCAGAATCTTAATGGCTGGAGGCTTTTAAAAATAAGTTAAAACATCCTCTTTCCCCAAAGCAGGTAGATCATCTGTACTTTGTGTAGCAGCTGTGTGCTGTTATCATAATACAGAATAAGGACAGAGTACTCCAACAGCTTTGCTACTTTGTTTGGCTTTTGCTTTTAAGATTAATAAACAACACATCAGACAGCAGTAGACAAATAAGTAACCTCCATTACTTGTACAAAAAGTTATATAAATACAACTTTGCTGTTTTGTTTTCTTTTTAGAGAATGAAAGCATCCTTTCATAAAATATTCAGCAATCCTTATCTTAGCTGAGATGCTGCAAAGTCACAATTCAGAGGACAGACATCTGCTGAAGGTAAATCCACACTGTGCAGAGACAACACAATGGTCCCTCCAGATCTGATCCTTCATGTTTATCCTGTGCACAGCTACCCAGCTACTATTCAACATGTGATCATCTGAACATGTTTTGCTATTAAACAGATGAAGATACTTCCCTGTACTGCTTTTTGTTAACTACTGTACTAGAAATATTCACCACATCATCGTTAACATCATCATCATTATTATTATTATTGTTGTTAAGGAATTGTCCTTAATTCCATGCATAATTATCATTTCAGAAGTTAAAAACATCATCCCTCCCTCCTGTCATAGTTTATAAAGCACTCTGTGCACAGTGAAGCAGAGCCTCAATTAAATGCAAACAGTATTAAAATTAAGAGAAATACCCTATTACTGTTGATTTTAGAGGAACAAAATTCTGGGGAGATTTAAAAAAAAAAAACAAAATAGTTTTATCTGGACAAAATAATGTACAATTATTAACATTGCACTTTTTGTACAAGAAATTCTAATAAATATACAGAAAAGATAGACATTTACATACATAGAAAGACATTCTTTTTTTAAATAAAAAGTTACACTGATGCTTAGCGACACTATTTCTTGAAGACCCATTTGCAGAAAGAGCATTCACTGCCAGATGTGTTTTGAAGTAACCCAGCTTGAGACAGTTTAATGGCATGAACCTGGCACTGACCTCAGAAGTGGACTCCCAGTTTTGCTGAAAAATCCATGTGTCATGGAAGCTGTAACACAGCAGTCCTTGAAGAGCATTTCATTAACATGCTGCAAGGCATGAGCCCCACTGGGGGTGACAGGAGAAGCACAGCCAACTCTTCAATTTAGAGGTGGCCTTGAACCAAAGGCTCAGATCCAGATAACTCTCCTTTAAAGGTTCATGATGCTCAAACCCCCTACTTTGCAGATCTCCTCTGATTTTAGGGCTGTATTCTGAGCAGAACAGAGAGTGCTCAGGAACTAAAAGGATGAAGCGCTTCACTGGCTGAATAACTGCAGCAGCTGGCCAGGGGAAAAGGCCCACAGACAGCATGCAAAGTCATGCTGCGGGTGTGATGTTTGAACCTGACTTTTTAGATTGTATCTTCAGGTTGTTATACATGGGCTTATAAAGGTGCTGCTTTATAGCACCTGTTTTGCTGGAGGCAGTTGGAGAGGAGCAAGTTGGTTAAAAACTATTGGCATTAGTCCTCTGGGGTTGATGCTGAATCCATTCTGTTTCTATTGAGTAGGAATAACCACCAAAAATTAGTATATAGCTTTTCTACTATTGTCCAAAAGGCTTGTCTGCCAGGAGGGAGAAATTTCACGTTAGCAGGATAGGAAAACCCACTTCTTCACGTTCCTTTGCAAAACCCTAGCTTTGAAAGTACCTGAACTCTGGGAACTGGTAGCTCCTTCTTTTCCAAGTTAAGTGTTAGCAGGATGGACCAGGCAAAATAACTCCTGTTACCACAGACAACTGCTATCTTTCCTGCCTGTACTCTCTACAGGACAGCATTTGCAGGTTTGTAATCCAGTCTGTCAACAGCAGACCATAGTTCCTCTCCTTCTCCTGGATAATAATTTAATCACCTCACCTCTGTGCTGAGGGCAACCCTTCTATCTGCAATACACCCTTACAGGTGTGTTTTAAACTCAGGCACATTACATAGCATTGTTCAACTTCCCCAGATACCGATCTTCAAAGATCATGAGCATCTCCCACTGAAATAATTTGTAGGCCTGGTATGAGAAGGAGAGAAGGATTTAGAAAGAAAAAAAAGGAATCCAATCAATGTAAAAAAAAGTTTATAAAGCAAAATCATGTTCTTATATTCTCAAAGTAGTCTAAGGCAAAGTACCTATATATTGCAGAGCTGAATGTTTCATTTAGCCTTTTTTTTTTTTTCCTTTTCTTTTCCCTTCTGGCACCCTGTGACTTATCAAGCTGTTTTGTTTCCTATTGTGGCGGTCCAATGTGATGCTAGGTTTTTTCTCTGATCTGCTTTCCCATGTGTCTGTTGGTGTATCCCCAGGCATGTACATGCATTATGGGGCATCCCCACTCCTCTTAGGCCCATTGCTGGTGATGGGCTCACCGCCTCTGTGGTCTGCCCTCATGACCATGTTTTGCTGCATTCTGTCTCCCAGATTCATAGAAGGGAAAACTTGTCAAGCCCCTTTACAACAATGATTTGGTAAAAGGGTTTGTTTTCTTTAGTTTTGTTTTGTTTTTAAAGGGAAATAAATAAATAAAATAAAAAAAAAAAGAATTCCATTCTGTTTATATTTTCTGTAAAAGTCCTTGCCTCAGTGAAGCAAAGTCTGTGATCCCCTTGTTCCTCCATTTTCACTGCTTCTGTCTTCAGACTTTTCCACAGGTCCCACAGCAGCGTGACTTGAACTGTGTGAGCTGGCAGAGTTTGAGCTGCTTCACTTTCTCACAGTACCTTGTGGTGTCTCTGCACTCCACTGCCAAAGGGGAAACAAAAATAAATTATGATAAAACAATGAAAGAAAGATTTCTTACCTGAGAACATTTCATGGAGTGGTCAAGAGGCAGCTTTGTGTTGGGAGGTCTCACTATGAACATGAGCTTGACTTGCTGCAAAGACTGAGGGGGGCCTGCAAGCAGCCAAATGCTAAAAGGAGAACGTGGTGGGCAACCTTTGCTTTCAGAGCCTGAGGAGAGGGCTTCTGAGGCTGCTCCAATCTCTGTCAGTTTGTAATCTACCAGCATTTTAGGGAGGCTCTAAGATTTTCATAACAGTTGTTAAATCAAATTTGAAGTAGTAAATAAAACTGGAAACTTATTTTAAGAGTAGCTGAAACGTATGTTGGTCAACCTTTTGCATTTGAAGAGACAGTGTGTGGGACTGCCACCTCAGTTTACCAGGTGTTGTGTTGTGCTTTTCACATGTGTATTGCAAAACACAACCCAGGGTGAAGATGTTAAGACACTTTTTTAACTTCCTTAGGACTTAGGTCCTGGTATCATTTGGACAGTTTTTAAGGCCCGCAGTCTCCAACTTTTGAGCTCCAGATTGGAAAACTGTCCAGTATCCCAACAAGACCTGGGGTGTTTTGTTGCCCAAGGGACTCCCACTTCCCATGCTAAGACTGGAAAGGTGATCATCACAGAGGGGTTGTACAGCCCTCTCCAGTAATGTCTGTGACAATAACTCCACTGTTGTCTAGATGTGGGACATTTCTATATAGCAGGAAGAGGCTGGAGGGACACCAAAGGTCTTTCTTGGTACCTGTAAGCTCTCTCAGCCGTCCCACTTCCACTAGGGCACCCCAAACTCAGCTCATGGGTTTGGACCTGTGGAGTCCGCTTTGCCTTTACTGAGAGGAAGCGTCAGAGTAGGCAGCAGGCAAACACAGGCAGGTTCTGCTGTTGCTTCTGTGATGATTGCACAGCAGCCAGCTTGTATGCTAGTGGGAGCTGGGGCAAATGAAAAGATAATGATTTAAACTTGTGCTGACTGGTGTTTCCCAAGGAGGCACTGCCATGGTGGGGCATAATTTCCGAAGAGGCACATCATCTATACCTTTTTTCCAAAGAGGCACATCATCTATCCATTTCAGGAATTCCCATCATCAACCTACTTATTGGATTTAGATTTATTGTATTTTTAACTGTAGCCAGCAGTCTGTGATTAGTTTTTTTCTTTCTGTCTGTACTGTTAATGGAACGTTGAGACCGCATCAGCCGTTTCAAATGCTGTTTTCAAGGAGATGAAATCTCAGTGCTAACACCATTGCTAACAAGCCACAGCAGGCACCATTTCCCCGGGGACTCTGAGTTTTGGACATCGCATTTTGCACATATCAAGGCTGGAGGTTTCCCAAGACACCCAGCTGCAAGGTCCAGAGCTTAATTTCTGAGATGTCTCTGCTTTCTTTCTCCCCCTGCACCACACTGCCTCCCCTCCTCTCAGCAACATACCATTTTCACAGGGCATGATGTTGCAGCGCTGCCAATTTGCTGGCCGTGGTCTCCAGGAGCAGTGATGCTCCAGCACAGGCTTGTTGGTGCGGACATGCATGCAGTCCACACGTCGGGACTGGAAGCCGTAGTTTCCACACGTAGCTGTGCAGACAGTCCACAGGCTGACCCTCCAGTGCACGCCACAGACGTCAGTCCAGCAGTTCTGGGTGGTCAAAGGCCTGCGGGCAGGAGGGAGGGAGGGAGGGGTGACCTGTCACCATGCTGTCCAGGGAGCAAGTTCATGCCACACCGGCCGTCCTACAAGCACCAGTGACAGCAAGCCTTGTGGATCCCAAATATAATTCGCCCAGAGCACCGTATGGGTCAGGTCTTTGATGGGTGCAAGTGGGGGTAACTCCAGCACACTGAAAGGCAGTTTGTAACTGCATGCAAGACCCTCAGTGGGTGCACACTGGTGTAACACTACTGGAGCTAAATGAGCATTTGAACTATTTGAAGATTTGGCCAAAATGTCGTCTCGATGAAGTGACAAACCAGAGGTCCACTGAAAATATGCAGTGACTCAAGTGGTGACCAGTAAGACCCAGCAGGGCTTTGTAACTTTTTTATGGCTTTACAGCCAGTGGGAACAAAACCAATTCTCTGAAACCCTCCTTTTCCCTTCAATGCAGTCTCACAGAAGGTGCATTGGCACTCTTGGTTCCCACCTATTTGTCACACAGATAATGAAAATACGTAAGTGGGAGCCAAAGAGCCAATTATACTAATTTTCAGTCATGATCAGGTATGATTTACATACCTAAGTCTCATGTAAAGTAAATATGTCTTTCCAGTGTTGACAGTTCAATTTATCTGCAGGAAAACAAAAGCTGTAGAGTGCTCTTCTTTCCCCAGTTGGAGCTTGTGTTTAAAAATGAGAGCAAACTGGCACCTTAAGAAGAGATAGCACAACCTTTCAGACAGGATTTGGCATGCCTACAAGACTTTCCAGTTGTTGGCCAACTAGTCTTTTTTTCTGGGAGTCACAGGAACAGAGTGAAGCCTTGGCTTAAGCCTGGTGAGATTTGTACCACATAACTGTATGGGTTGCAGCATGACCTCTTTGTCACACAGGGGAAACCAAAAAGTTGTCAGTTAAGTCACTAGTCCATTCATCACCTCTGTGAAGGGTAGTGGTTTCAGACATAAGGGATTCTTGTCCTACCTTGGTAAAGCACTGCATTGATCCGATGACACAGAAGTCCCATCTTTGGTCTGACAAAATATCTGTCTGTGCTGTACAGCCAGTTGTGGTCCAATGCAAGGCCCGTTACACTGTGAACACAGAAAAATCACTTACGCAAGGTAAAAGGCAGGACTTGGTCCCCTTTCATAAGACTGCTGTTGAAATAAAGTGCATACCGCCATTCAGTGACTGTTGAGTTTTCAAGCACTTCCTGCAGCTCTGCAGGCTTTGAAGCTAAGAATGCAGCCATCTTCTGCCCTACCTCACTCTCCTCCTGCAGCATTAAAACTGCATTTATATATCTGCTCTGTAGATTCATAACCTCTTCTCTTCAATGGTTAAATCTTAAACACATCTGTTATGGTAAATAAAACACTGTCATGTCGTTAGCCAAGAGTCTATGATCCTACAGGAAATCTCAATACATTCCTTTTATCATGCATTTTGCAGCTTGTACTATCACAATTTATGGGCAAATAGTTAATACCCAAGAATGCATTGAACCAAGAACTTATTCCACTCCATTTAATAATGTAAAAGCATTGCAGAACAATAAACAAAAGCAACAAGTATGATAAACACAGTAGATCTGCAAGCCTGCTCCAATACTGAGGTTATCCTAATCTATTCAAGCTCATCAATTACATACTTACTGTTTAGCTTTTCTAATCTTCTCTTTCGGTTAGATTGTAATTAGCTACATGAAGCATGTATTTGTATTCTTTTAAAATTATATCAACTGTTAGGAAACAGTTTGTTTTTCTAAGTATCTAGAAACTATATTCAAGAACAGACTGAGAGCTGAAGATAGGGACCATAGTGTGAGGGAGGAATTTTTGCCAGGGGAGGTCTGCTGACCAATCATGCTGCACCCTTCACCTCCCATCATTAGGATCCCTATTTCACACAGCCATGCACTCCTCACATAAAACTCCCTTCCTGCTATTTCTTCCATCCTTGACATCCGGGAGAGAGAAGCAGTGACTTCCAGGTTTCCAGTTGCTCCCAGTCAATCCCCTGATTACAGCAAGGTGGATGGAAACGTCATTTGTTGGAGTATGTGGAGCACTTCTGCGATATCTGCAGGGGCTAGCAGTCCTCATCACAAGTAAGCCCAAGTCACTAGTTTTAAAACACTATGGATTACATAGTGGAGATCAAAATGCCACTAACATTAAATGAAGGAAAGGAAGTAATTCTAGAGGTGGCGGTACAGTAGGTAGTCTGTTTTATATGCTTTGTGGGAAAGTACCTGGACCTGGTACCCCATGATACTACTGAGAAGGTCACTGATCCACTGAGCCACCGAGCCAATGATATATTCTTAACTGTAGTTAGATAACAGTCATCTGGCTTGGAGACTGAGCTGTACAGAATCACGTGGGACTTGATTTACTTTTTTAAGCTAGGTAGAAGAAATATTGTATTATAATACACAGAGGTTATGTCTAACAAGTTAATTCAGACCTCTTTGATTATCTCAGCTGAGTATGATGTCATGTGGAAAAATATAGCCCATAATGATCTACAAAATAAGGATGAGGTAATTGTTTTTTTTGCAAGCATAATCCAGTCCTTACCTGGAATTCCACAGGGAATGAAAATTTACTTATTTCATACAAAAAGATAATTGCAAGTTTTAGTCATAAATGTAATGCAAAAACACAACCACCTTTCATGAGAGAAATTTCAAAAATACACAAGCAAGAGTTAAATGAAGTTTTCTTCAAGTAGTCAACCATAACAAGTTCTGGTAGCTGAAGACACTTTTTATACCAGCATTGTAAAAACCCCTGATGCAGTGCAATGTATTATGCATATTACCCCAAGCAAATACAGAATGCATGTCATTATTAACAAACTATTGTATTTCTCTAACCTCTAATACAATGAGATAGCATTTGCCATTATTTTCATACTGCCTTACCATACACTGCTTAGAAAAGGAGGCAAAATATTTCATGGTAGCTCACTATATGCCAACACTGGTAGTTATTACTCTGGTGAATTATTCTCTTAGCCTCTTCTTGCATGCTAAGAAGTCTTGCTTCTATATCTTTACTTGACTCATCATTTCAATTACATGTATGACTACTCTGGTTTTGTCAAACTGCCTTTTCTTTTTTCCTTTGAAAACATTTATTTCACCAGAAGTGATGTTAAAGTAGTACTGGTATCTGGCTTTAACCTCTACCAAAATTGGCTTCTGTGTTTTTAACCCAATCTCTCATTCACCCTGAAATGCTATACCCCCATGTGAACCACCATTCTGGAGATCTTTGGGCTAAAATCTGTGAGTTTCTACCCCTAAGTCTGAACTCTAGTGGACTCACCAACCTTCACGTATGGCTCAGTTGAGCTGGAGTGGAGAGAAAAAAGGAGGAAAGCACACAGCAATTACTGGTCCTCATTTACAATTTACTATGTATTGACAAGTGTCTTTTCAGGAAATCTCATAGATCACGCAGAGACAAAGAGAAAACTCTTCTGTGGATTCCCACAATAAATCAATTCAACTGTAAATATTTGGAACATTTGGTATTTACGGAGTGAAGCTTTTCAACATCTGATCATTGTTTGAAGCTGCAAGGAGAGAATGTGAAGGTCTGCAAAACAGCATGAAGTAGTCTGAAAATGCTTTTAGCCCTACATTCCGCTTTTCATCATAAAGCGAATAAAGAAAGCTCCTGCTTTTTGGCATTCTCAGGCAACATCAGCGACTTTGTAAAACGGTGTTATTGTACAATCCCCCTGCCCCAAATGTATTGCAATCATCAGTCCTGACTCCTGCCAGCCAAAACTGAGACATGCTCACTGGGTGGTAAGGGAAATTAAGACTTGGAGAAGGCTATTTCCCAGATGTGTCACCTGTCACTATGAAGAGGAGGGGCAGACCTTTCCACTGGGGATGATACAGAGGTCTGCAGTAAAAGTCCTGGTCACAAGAAGCACTTCTAGGGATAGCGGGAAGCTACAGAAATCCAAGCATGTGGTGCATCAAATATGGAGTTGAAAGAGCTGAACAAATTAGTCACCTCCTCAAAAGCCTGCAGACCATATCCTAAAGATAACAGGGTGAAAAACCTCTAATTTTCTGTTACTTTTTTCCAGCCCACACCATGAGGTTATCCTTGGACTACTGGCTTGTTCCTTACCTGGCCCCAGGAGGATACCACCCACTCAGCACAGGGCTGCCTGTTACAGTTCTGTGTGTCCACAGGGCACTTGGACACCTGGGCACAAGCCTCATTTGACATTGGGACAGAGCTGCCTCTCGCTGTCAGGCGCTGACATGTCACTCGCCGCGTCTGGATGCCTCCACCGCAGCTCCGTGTGCAAGGAGACCATGATGTTACCATCCATCTGTGAGAGAAAGGCGAACAGGTCAGAGGGCAGATATGTGCCACCATCTGCAAGATCATTGGTGTCAACAGGTCTTTATGTGTTGGACCAAAGAAAGGCAGCAATGACTTGGTTCATTTAGGGTTTGATCCTGGAAGGTGCTGAGAGCCTCAGCCTCATGTACAGCCTCATGTACAGTTCCAACTCATGTAGTAGTCACTGAAAACTGCTCAGAGGATGAATGCTGAGAAAAGAGCACATTGTTTTTTCATTAAACTATCTTTCTCAAGGTTCTTTGGGCCCAGAATTAATTTTCTAGCCCTTAAGGCTGTTTTTAAAGGCTTAGTAAATATTTCTAGTCCAGGCACAGGGGTTGGGCATGGCTGCTCTTACACCACTGTGCCACAAAGCCTCAGTCACAGGCTACAATCACAATGCCAGCAATCACTAGCCCATTTACACCCATTAGTAAGGAAAACTATCTCTATGAAGTTGCTGGAGTTGCTCACAGGTCACTTTGAACTTGCTGCTGACAGACTAGCCAAAAAACTGATGATTCCTGCTAGTATCTGCCTGCTCTGTTATGGCCCTGACAGCTGGAATAATCCAGAAAAGCCTGAAAGTTGCTCAGGGATGGGTCCAGTGCACAGTCAGCCTAGGGACAAAGGACACCCTTCTTCTTTCTGCTTGAGCTCAGATCATGCATTTGCCAGCTGAGGCTGAGGCTCTGAACCCATATGTGATGGGGTTTAAAAAATCCCCTCTAACTAGTAAAAAGCCTGTAACAACAGAAAATAATAGACCAGGTCCAAACTCTTACCAAGATGGCCAACATATTTTGTTTCTTTAAGGATCATTAAGTGAAACACTCATACAGTTGGGCTTGGGAAGGAGGTAGTAGGAACAGGAAGGATGGGACTGATTACTCGTTTCCTGAAGAGTTTTATGGTCAAGTCAGCAGTTTGCTTCATTAAGTTTCAAGATACTCAGCAAGATTTGTGTCTTATTGGGAGGAAAACAGCGCCTATCATGTCCCTCACCAGCAGTGTCTATGATTACTTTACAAAATAGGCAATAGGTGTTCTCCAGTCTCATGGAGAGGCATCCATTGCTATTCCTCAGTCTTCTGTGAGTAAATCCTGTGGTCACAGAAACAAGTATATAAACAAACACACTCTCAACATGAAAAACAAAAGCACTGCTACTTTTTTTCCTGCAATTTGGTGAGGTTGAATCTGAAGTTTCTGCACTCCTCATAAAGATCTGTTCTGCATTTCAATCAACTTTTATTTCCAAGCTTACATCTCAGCAGTTTCTCAGTAGCTGAGGGAGGATTGTGGGTTGCCTTACAGTTCAGGGAAGGTATAAAAAGACATAAACCATTCCTGCGGAATTTACTGCCATCACCAAGGAAAACTGCTGCTAATGAGCATTCTTCATATTTCATCAAATCTCTTTTGGTTTCCTCCTTATGACTTAGCTTGCAGCTCAGAAAACATTTGCCTGCAAAGAAGGGTAGGAATATATTTAAAAGGTAATTAAACAGAACCTTGCCATATACCCAAGACACACCAGATTTACAGTGGTAAATCTGGCCACTTGCTTCTCATCAGGTTGATTAGCACCTCTCCTTGCCTCAGCTTAGAGACTTTTTTAATACAAGTCAGAAATCACTGTTGAATGAGAGAAGTTGTACTAAATTTCCCTTGAGATCCTGACTACTTTTAAGTTCTTGTATACTGAAACACACCACGTCCACAGTGGAAATAAGGGAGAAGAGGGAGTAAAAATACAGAAAAACATGGAAAAGCATGTTTACACACCTCAGCTACAGAGCCACTGAATTGCAAAAGTAGGAGGCTATTTTTAAGATGGAAGGAGTATAAAACTACACTGACTCTCTGGATGGGCAGTCAGGATGTATTCTTCTTTTTATCAAATGGTGTAAAAGAAGGAAAGTGTTTTGCATGGGGAGGAAGCAGCAGAGGAAGACAAAAGTGTAGTCGGAAGTCTTTCAAGTTGTCCTGGCTCTATTGTGTTTAACAGTAACTGAAAATAGGGGATTACCATGGCAGAGAGTTACAATCCCAAGCAAACCACAAACTCCAGTCTCCCAAAGGAGGCAGAACTCAGTCTGACTGACCTTCATGCATACAAGATCTGATGGGATGTGCCCATTTTCCAAAAGACATTTCTACTCTGCCGAGGGAATTCTCTGCAGCTGCAGCTACAGTCCTGCCCATATTGATGTTCAGGCAACATCAGAACTCAGAAGAAAACCCCAAAACAGCTGCTAAACTTAGTTTCTTGTCTGTTATATTGTTGGGTTACACTGGTATGAAGACATGTGTAACACAAAAAAGATATGACCCTACAGTTCTGCGGTGACGACACTCCCATGTGTGGAGAGCTCAGAGGAGGCATGGTATTTACATCCAACAAAGGGTGAGGCTGGAATCACCCAAAACAACACAAGCTGTGAACTTTGCTAATAAAGAGTAGACAATAGCCTCTCTATTATTTTCTAACCTAATTACTGAAGGAGTAAACTCTCTTTCTACCATGTACTGTCAAAGCTTTCCACAAATCTTGCTGCAAATTCCCAACTGTCTAGGTTAAGCACTCAAATTCCCTTTTAGCTGTGACTTTTCTCCAGACAGGCACCAGAGAGGCTGCAATGATGTCCTGTGCAAAGAACTCTTCAAGCACACCTTAAAAGCATGTATGACATTTTAACATGAGACAGACAAACCGTGAAGGGCAGTCTCTCCTGTTGCATGCAATAGCCTGCAGGGCTGGCTTGGGCTTCTCTTTGCAGTGGGATATGTTGACTTCAGCCCCATCCAGTAAGCACCTTAGCTGGGGTAGCTGCACACCTTTGTTGCCGCAGGAAGCCGAACAAGCCATCAGCTTGTCCACTGACCACTGGTATTCTGCCAAAAAGTGTGTGAGAGACGTTAAGACTCATAAACCCCCAGCAGGAGACCCTTAGAAAAGAAACAGTCAGAGACGTTCTCCAGGATGAAATATTTGGACTCCTTGTCTCATGTGAGGGGGAGCTACCCATGCCTACAAGGCACCAGGCAATGAACAAAGAAGGGACACGATTCCAGCTGCTGTAAACCCCTGACTGTCTTTGGTGTAACAAACCCAACTTTTTGGTGCTTAGAAGCATCAGGCACGGAAAGTGAGTGACATGGTAGAGCAGTTAAGTGAAGCCAGATGCCAGTGATGCAGGACATTGCATCTACATTTTTAAAGGAGTGTGATTTAGTGAAGATGTGTTTAACTGCAGTTACCAGCAGTATCTATGATCTTACAATAGTATTTTTCTCACCAGGTAGATCATACAGATCATCCATACTGAAGATGAATGGGGGAGCTGCAACATATTTAAATTTTATGACACAATCTAAGTAAAAGTTAAGTTCTTCCCTACTCCATCCCTTACAACTGGAGCAATGAAAGCTGCGTATTCTGTTCCAACCCATCTCCACTGCTCTGTTCTACGGTTTTATAATTTTCAGCTTATTTCTACAGTAAATACAACAGTTGCAACAGTTTTACATGTGAAGTGTTTTCAAGCAAGAAGAAACTGTGAAACACTGACCTTAGTAGATTAATAGAGCGGCTTTTAATTTTAGGGTTCAAACTGTGACACCCCTGTCTTGAATTTCTGGACAAGAAAATTATCCAGACTCCACAAGCATAAGTATAGTTTGAATCAGTAAGGTGTGTTTTATGCTCAGCAGGCCAGAAATATCAGGTGTCATTTTGGTACAGTAAAACCTAAGACACTGCATGGTACCTGGTAGTCCTGCAAATCTATATCCATGGCAGTACCCATCAAAACATCTACTTCCTGCTGCACATGACAGTCTTGGCTTCATAGAAGAGAAATCCAGGATGAGAAAGGCAGTGCAGGGAAGTCAGTGGCAAGAGCTTCAGAGGGTAGCAGGACTGAAACTGGAAGGTTACCTTGTATAGCCAGAGTTGTTGTTTGTGTAAGTGAGCCAGCCTCATTCTGAGCAAGGCAGCTGAATCCACCATGAGGAGCATCACTGATGTTGAGTATCTGAAGAATTCGTCCCCCTGCAAGGAGGCGATGCTGCAAACTGAGAGGCTCACCAGAGTAAAGCCAGGTGATATTTGGGGTTGGATGACCATCCACAGCACAACCTAAAAACCAGGGACATGAAATAAACCTGCTGAGTACTGAGCTTGCTGCAAAATTACATGCTTTGAAGTGGTCAAAATTAGGCAAAAAAGTCTATTCCATCTGATTTCCCCCTCATTTTCTCATAATGAAAAAGAGGAATACTGACGTAATGAATATTTTCTCATAATCTGAAAAAAATTATCCAAAAGGATAAAAAAAAATATTATTATCATCCATATTGAAATCTCAGATCAATTTGGAAATATTTATATCAAGCTTTCTAAAGTTCCCATTATTTTGGATCATCTTCATTTTAGTATTGAGGAAAGTGGGATAGGGAGGTTACACACCTAGCATACGCTCAAGGAGCATGCTTGAACAAGCAATACAAACAGAGCTTGGTCTCCAAACCTCCTTCCTATTTAAACCACTGGGCCACCTTCCTCTCTTGTTTTTTATATTAGAAATCAGAAGTTTTTGTTATGCAAAATTTTTGTTACATGAAAACTGTTGAAAAAAAACAAAGAGATAAAATTGAGCCTTTAGAGTTATGTTTTGGGTTTTTTTGGGTTTTGTTTTGGTTTTGTTTTTTTTTTTTTTTTTTTTGTCACAGCAATGGGCAACAACAAATCAAAACCTGCAAACAAAAAACCCTAATGTTCTGAAGCATTGTATGGGTACACGTGTGGGTGAGGTTTAGGTTCACAATGAGTTCTTTGCCTGTTGAGGTAGAGTACCTGTAAGATACTATTTGCTGTGGTCCTCACACCAGCTGCCCAACTTGTCGGTTTCATGACAAATTGCAGAAGATTTGTGAGACTTGGATATTCTGAGAGAGATAGCTAAGCTGCCTGGGGAAAAAGAAATTGCACTAGGCAATTTCTGTGGTGCAACCCCTCCATACCAACTGCAGGAGTGGGAAGCCAGAAAAGCTGTGGGCAAGGGATGGCATATATTACTCGGACTGTTTGTGGCTTAAGGTAGTCCTGCACTTCCATGCATCTCACTGATACATGAAAGGTCTGGCTAAGTTTCTGTGAATGTAATCTACACTCATTGTTAGTTTGTTATATTACAGCTTTACAACATTCTGTTTATATTAGTATGTACGCGTAATGAATGACCTTATTGCACACAAAATCCCTTCTGAAAGAAGTGTACTTATAAACAAACATAACATGTAGACATGAACTTTCACACTAGTGCTGCTCAAAAGGAATGGCATAAAAGTGGAAGAGTACAAATTAAAACACTAAAAGATGGAAGACTGTTCTAAGATTAAGGAATAATTTCATCAGCTGATATTTCTTCATTGTCATCTCCATGTCATTTGATTGTTATTTATTATTCACTGAGACAAATAAGGATGTGAACATGCTGTCTTTGTAGCTGCATTACACAATGAACAGACACTGTAATGTGACTGTTCCTCCTTTCATTCTTGTCTATCTACCCGATATATTGAGCAAGTACTGTTCCTGCGAGAGAGGTAAGAAGACTTATAGTTGCTGCAATCAAGATTTTATTTAAATATACATTTTTTCCTTAAGAATTTATCTATACCTTACTGAGGTGCCTATCACTGCAAGAATAAAAAGAACATTTTCATTCATCTACCCAGGAAGGCTGAACAGTTTGATTTCCAACAATCATCAAGACCAAATCCTTGAGACTTTAGGAGCAAACTACTTTGTTTAAGAACCCTTGCTGACCTTCTTTTGACTTTGGTCACACCCCTAAACTAACACTAGGGACTGGTCTACTATAGTCTTTTACTTGTGTGCCTTTTGCCACCAATCGTACTTGCAATTACACTATTCCTATGGCAGAAGATGCTGCCTTGCCCACAAGAACTGAAGCTTTCTTGCTGTACAGAAAAACTCACACAAGACGGAAAAAGCCAGTGGCAACCCATGACAAACCGAGCCATTTTCATGCTGAGAGGTAGATCCAGGCACTGGGGAGACATCATCTGCCACTTGGGAGGATAAAAAAATACTGGGCCTCTCACTGGTGCAGTGGCTACACGGGTCTTTGCTGTGTCCGCTGTTGCTGGCAAGCACTGCTTGCATCCACAATGGGGAAGGGGTGTGGGTTGGATAAATTTGACCTTTGGGGCTGGTTCATTCTGTGTGAAAGAGGTATCCAGAGAGCAAGGGCTTCCTGGCAGAAGGCAAGTGACACACATTAGGCTCTGCAGTTGCAATGACAATGTTTCAATGGCAATGAACTAGTTAATGCAGCTAAATACTAAAAAATATGGAAAAAAGGGAAGAAAAAGGCAGCATGAGAGAGTGCACACCACTCACAGTGTTCTCCCCTCTTCCCTTTTTCCACTTTTACTTATAAGGGTAAAGAGTCTTTGCTATTTGTTTTACTTTCTTTGGCAAGGTCTAACACAGTTTTACCCTTGGCTGTTCTCCCCCCAGCACTCACTTCCTGACCACAAAGGCACAGCTTTCTCTGCTGCTCAGTTCTTTTTCCTGTTTCTGTAAGCTTTCTATTTATTCCTGCTATGCTTCATTTTACATTATTCTTTTTGTCCTGAGTACTGACATGTTTTTTCCTACTCTTGTGCTGAAAAACAACTCATCCACTTCCCAAGATATTCCTTCTCAAGTAAATGAGTGACATGAAAGATTTCAGCCTCGCAAGTTTAAGGCTGCCTAAGTGAAAACTAATGGAAAAGAAAGGAATATACAGGAAATGGACATATTCTGATTTTCTATACTTTCCTTGTCTTTTAAGATAATTGCAGGGATTTCCACAGGTCAGTATATAGCCCTGACAACTGACAAAGACATGTTGTGAGCCCGATCATATTGTTTGCATTTGCAAACAGTCTGCACAGGATAAATTAAGACAGCAGAAAGGTCAGTTTGATGTTAAACACAGAGGAACTGAAATTGACTTCAGTATGCAAATGGTCCTAGTTCATGCCTGTTTTTCTTTAAAAATTTTCTTGTCAGGCAAAACAAGATAGTCTTCCTAGTACTGACTATTTTACTTGCCTTACATATTAGCTCTTCTGCCAAAATGTATATTAAAAATATTAGCTAAAGGAACAGCGAGTAATCAATAATATGGGGGGAAAACCCCAAACGCTATTCCTTAGATACATTCTACCAGGGAGTAATTATTACTTTTTTTAACATTTAACAATAAAACTTTACTAACACCTATGAGACTTGTACATAACGGATACTCCTCATTTGTGTATGCAGTACAAGCATAAATCACATTTCACAAGTTACATTTCCTCTATGTCTCCCACGTGTATGGATGCATAAGCTTTGGGATAACGTTTTATGCATATTAAGTGAGAACAAGAGTACAGTAAGAAACCATGTTCCATTAATATACCTTTCTCATCTCCCAGGAATAATTTTAATACTATTTAATGCAGATTACCAACACCTATTCTCTATTTCCTCCCATCGCTGTGAACATTTACTGCTTTATCCTTCCAAAGCTCAACACCTGTCTCTGTAATGCCTGAGAAATAAAAACAAGCTTTTTTTTCCAGACAGCACAGCTATCGCAGAGCTTCAGTGCATCAGAACCCTTGGGAAGACGAGGAGGGAACATTTTTTTTGGGACTGTTTCTGAGCAATGAAAGCTCTGGCATGAGAGAGCCCTTCTCCTTCAGTCCTTCTTAAGTAGAGAAAGAAAATACTGCCTTCAGTGTCCCTTCCAAAGTCTACTGTGACTCTGAATTCATTCAAAGCCAGGATGAGTCACAGATGTGCAAAAGCTGGAGATACAAGCAAAAATCTAATACAAGTTACATCTTTTAGTAGAGAAAATATTAATACTTCAAGGATAAGAAGTGGGTATCTGGAAAGGGAAGATCAATGTTTCACAACAATTCTAATAATTTCTTGAGAGGAAGGAATAAATGAACAGTGCAGGCCAAAGTCAGCTCTCCATTATACCTCTGCAGCACTTTCTGTACGACTGTAGCTACGGACTCTGGGCTACTGTGCTAATGCTAAGAGAACAGAATATGAAGCATGCGGCATTCTTTCATTGGCAGACTTTAACAACAGGAAAAAAAATTGCAAAACCTGTTGATTTTAGAATTCCTTTTTTTAGCAGCATGATAGCTTAAATAAGCAGAACTGTATGCAAAGAAATGGTGAAAACGTCAAACAAATATTGCAAGTTTGTAATACAAGTGAAAAAAATACATCATTGCCTTTAAATACTGTATGTATTCTTAAAATATAGGTTATTTTCATGCATTCGTATTTGTCTAACAGCTCCCTAATTTACTACTGACTTGCTGATTAATCCTAGGCAATATTTCTGATACTTATTAAAGATGGAATCTGAGTCAAGACTTCAGGTCAAGATGAGGCATTTTCTTTGAAATTTCATTAAACAAAACAGTCCTACAGTCTGACCTCAACAGACTACTCAGCTTTCCAACTGCAGCCCTGAAGCTTCTGTGCTGTGGGAAGTACGCTTACCTTTTCCATTCTTCCGGCAGCTAACCAAGGCACATGAAGATACATGCTGTCTTAACTCAGGCTAAGCCATGCCAGCAGCGGAGCTGGCAGTCAAACTCTTGCCTTCTTAGTCTCAGGCCAACAATTTCATCTTTGGAAATTATTTCCTATTTAAGAGACAGGTCTGGGAGGCATAGCCTGGATACAAATACACACTGTGGTATGCAGTTTGGATCCATTGGTATTAATGTTAAGCTACGCGCTTGTACCTTAAAGTTCAGTTTTACAACCTTGCTATTCATCAGTGATCACTCCTTGCAAAACAGGCACATGTTTCTGCTGCATTAGTTCAAAATACTTTGAATCTACAAAAAAGGCTGAATGTGAAGAAAAGTAAGCATACTAATTGGTTAGAGACTGCATGTTTCAGGACATGATGAAGTACAATAAATGTAGCACAGAAAGTTCACAGAAAACTTCAGCTAGACATTCATAGAATCATAGAATGACCCGGGTT